CCAGGTTATTACTTAAAGCAGACCTATCTGCATCTCCCAACGCACTGACAGACTTTTTCTAGAAAGATGTGGATGCTGCAGGACTTGACTCGCAGTTGCTTTGGAGCAGAGGCACAAAAGAGAATTAATAGAAGAGAATTCAGAGGCTGACATTAGAGAATCAAGCACTGCAGGGGAAGAGTATGGCATCTAACAAGCCGAATTTGTGGAAGTCTGAAGACTAAGTGGAAAGCTGCCAGGCCAGTCTACTGAAAATGCAGGCAAAGCAGGAAAAGGAGGGACATTAGCAAAAAAGCCACTCACATTCCCAGTAAGAACTCTGACCATTGGGCAAAAAGTCACACGTGAAACATTGCGCATGCTTTGAGCCACGTCTTGATGATCAAATGTCACTGTCAGACTGGGGAATACCAGTCTGCAACTCCTCCAGGCCTTCTGCTGAACAACACAGCACCATTAAGTCTAAGGTAGCTCTACACGTGTCCCTGAGCAGAACCAGGTGAAGAGGTTAAAGCTGTACCACCAAGGCAACATCTTAGAGGAAATTTTGAAAGTGCCCAAACGTTGCTGGATTTTGGACAAACATGTGCCTGAAGGCATGCCTACCTCATGCAGTGGGATAACAGAAAGGATAGCACTGAGTGTGAGCTACTACGCTCACACAATGCCATGAGGAAATACTAGTGCTACAGTACAGGCATTTTTGAGGGTGGTTGCCACCCTCAGCAGTCAGTCCCAGTCCTACAATGACACAGCAGTAACTCTTCCAGAACAAGTAACGACCCTGCTAGCTTAAGTGTCCCTATGCTACACTCACTGTGTCATGTAGAGATGTCTCACCAGCCTCCCCTTATGAGCATCATCTAAGCAATCTACTCTAACTGTATGTACACCTACACATACATACACACATACAAATAATCTATGCTACATACACGGTTTTGTAGATCTGCCCAGAAGACACTCAAAACAACTGAATTTTAGGAGCAGATCCTCGTCATTTATTGAAAACTACTACCAGTCGTTTATCTGTTCTGCTTATAGAGACATCCATTTCTGTATGATGGTTCTGACGGCTAGAAATTACTACTTCTATTCAAAAAGGAAAACATTATTATACTTGAATAAGAAGGCACCCATTCCAGCTGGCACAGAAGATTTCAGATTCTTCAGGGTCCATTGCTTTTTGTTCATTTTCAATGTAGTAAGCTAAACCACATGTAATAAAACCAACTGACTTACTTTGTTTGTCTGTGTCAATCAAGGGAGCCTGCTGAATGCATTTCACCCATATATTTTGTCTCAGCATCAGCTGGAAATAAGGTTTTTACCATGTATGTATAAAAAGTGGCCATACCACCTCTCACTAGAGAGAATCCCCCACCAAGCAAAGGGGAATATAAAGCACAGTCTCTTCCAAAATGTGTTACACTGACATTTGCCTTACTCTGAGAAGATGAGTGTTTTTTCCTCAGTTTCCTTTACTAGCCAAAGATGATTGGACTCCCAGCAAACACAGCTCCTTTCCTGGGCAGCTTCCTCCTAACTAGAATTACATATTTGAGCACTGAGAATTCTTCTTCACCATAGCACAGCGTAAACTACTTACCTTCTGTAAATGTTGCCCTCACTGGTCAGCAAAAGTCCCATGAAGCAGGAAGTTAACAATCACCCTCATTTTATAGATGAAAAACTTATTGTACAAAGAAGTGATGGCTTCAATCCAATGCAGGAGACAGGAGTAACTCGAAACATAAATATTTATGATCATAAGATTTTATATGATTCTAAGCGACTTCCTTAAAGTCAAAACCAAATTTCAGCTCTAGTCTTCACTGCAAATCACTACCAGCATCCCTAACCAAATTTTTTTTTACATCAGCGTAGATATAGTTATGCCATTGTAGTGGAAGGGACTTTCAATGGCTAGCCCAGCAAACCTGGTGGTATGGACTTTAAGATACTTTAAATGAATGAAAGAGAAAGGAAGTGTAGGGACCATTACTTTATAGAAAATCTTTCACACTAGTTCTTCTCCAACATTCTATAGCATGGGAAACATGATGAATATAATTTAAAATGTATGCAGAATGTATAAAAGTGTGACGTTTATTCTGGAGCAGACCTGAAAACATTCTTTTACTACATGGGCCTCGTGACTGATAATTCTAAGTAAGCTTCATGCAGCTGAGAAACCTACTGTAATACACGTTGATTTGGCATGAATTAACACACAGAGCTCTCTGAACGGTTTAAAATACCATGTCTATATTTCACTACAATATCAAATGGCTAGACTTTCACATTCAGGAGAAAAAAATCAAAAGATTTATCAAAAACTGTACATGTGGAAAAGTCAGAAGCACAGAAAAAGAACAGATTGCAAAGAAATGCCTAATGAGCAGGAATAAATAGATCTGTCGTGCAATAATATTTTAAATATTATTGGAAAAAACACTTGCTGAACTCCTTTAATTCTTGTTGGAAACTCTGTTCCAATTAAAATTGAGTGGACTGAATTATTCAAAGCTATTGGATACATCCACTTACCTGCTCTGTCTCAACGAAGTTAGACACATGTCCATCATCATTGACCCCTCGAATGTGAAACCGGGCACCAGCTCGCTCACAGCTGATGCGAGAGATGAGGCAGGCTTTTGCCTTCTTGTGGGAAGCATAGACAGTGCGAATGTCCACTACACCACAGATCACTTTTAGCAACCAGTCAGAGCAGTTCACCTGGTAGTGTTTGAAGGGCACATGCAATAGCTGGTTCCTGAAAGGTTCAACAACATACAGATACATTACTGAATAAAATAAGACAGACAGGCATGGGTGCTACCCCACAATCAACAATTTAAGCAAATAATATTTTGTGACGCCTTTTCTGTTGGACCCTTACTTTATCCAAAACCAGGAAATATCAGGAAGAAATCCTTGTGAACTACTACAGTGAACAGAACACGCTAAATTTGAATAGCACAGCTACCAACAAGGTGCTGTCCTTGTATCTTGCACCTCTATCTTACAAATTCAGATGCAAATGTCACCTCTTTCAGCTCCAGAAATACATTTCTAGTTAGCAATCTTCTTCATAAATTACAGTGCTGTTAAGCTAATTACTTTTTGATCAGTACTCTCCACACCTTAGCATACACTACAGAATGAAGAACCATTTTAAAACCCACAAGGATTTTCAGGAAAAATTTTCCAAGCAGAAATTGGATCCATAAGTCAATGGAGATATTGCGAAAAGTGCTACTAAAAATAAGAAGAATGTTTGTTTTAACCTTTAATTTATTTTACCATCAACAGTCCAAGAAACCTATCATGCCTGGTTAACAGTGATGCTAGTCTCTTCTCTTACGATGGTTTTCCTCATTTCATTTTTCAAAATGTGCCCTTAGTCACAGATGAGGGTCTTTTTATGATCATTTATTGTTCAACAGCAGATCTGTACCAGAGTTATTACACCTAGTGAAACCTCTGAAGAACTGTTCTTCTAAAGTACAGCATATCACTGAAAAAGGTGCAAGTTGTTCTTGCATTTTTAAACTAAACATGTAACTGAAAAAGCAACTCTCAAACAATTTTTGGGATCTGTTCCACCTCCTTCTTCTAGCTCTACTCACAAAGGAAGTCCTCACTCAGACAAATTCCAGTAGAATTTTTTTGTTGTTGCAGTTCATTTAACAGGGAGTTTGTGTTGCTTGTAAGTAAGTTCATATGAAACTTTTTATCATGTTACTATTTATCCCATTGTTTACTTTTCTCAGAAATCTATTGTTTGGTCTGAAATCTCCCATATCACATAATTGCCTCAAGATAAATTCTGTTTGGAACATCTTTTTGTCCTAAATGCGATGTTGTTGCCATTCATCCCTGTTCTACAACATAGAGGAGAACGGAACCTCTTCAAGGGCTACTTCTAGATTAGCCAGAAGCAGCAAAGAAGGGAAGTTCAAACACTTATCTTCCAAGAAGAAAAGTTTCAGAAGACAGTACAGTTAAAAACAGTTGCTTTAAAGGTTGTTTCCTAAGGGAAAGTATTCTTAAGTATTAAGGGATACTGCCACCTCAGAAGTTTCATCACTGGAACACAGCTCATTTATGCCCTGTGTCTAACTTGACATACTTTGAGAGCTTTTTGAGAGGGATGCATAACTAGCAGTTGAAAGCAAGTTTATACATCTCTCTTCTGAGTTAAAGCACTAGATCTTACCAGTAAAAAACATCATAGCTAGAAAAAGACATCATAGCTAGAAAGATTATTTAGCCTGAATTAACTGCTCTCTCATGTTTATTTATCATCCATTATGAAATTTTTTGCTTATTTAATATTCACCTACTTTAGGCCACAACACTTATCACACATTCTAGCAGCATACCCACATTTAACTCTGCCAGTTATTTTCCACCTACATCATATAACCCTTGTTTATTTCCAGTATAGCTATGCTTCCTGTTTGACTACCTTTTCGTTTAAAAAGAAAAAAAATGAGGGAATAGGAATTCAAGCATTCTGTCAGAACTTGTAAAGCAAACAGACTGAGTAACATCAACAGTGAACCCAGCCAGGGAAGACAAAACCCAGCATTTGTGTGTTTTCCTTTACAGTCACCAATACTTACCACAACAAGAAATACTTTTTGTTTGCTTTATAACCACTAGAAAGAAGTACAGAGCAATGTATCACAGGAGTTTCCTTCTGTGCAACTTACATTTACACTGAGCTGCAAATATATTAATATTGATGTTTTCAACATAAAAACTAGGCCATATCATTGAAACATTAAACTACAGACATTAAACACATACACTTTTAAGAAAGATACTTCAGCACAGATGATGGGATTTATGAACAGTTCAAGTGCAGGTTTTTATTAGGTAACTTTTAAAGCAAATTATTAAAAAGAACTGCAGGGGAAAGTATTCACAACACGTAGAGACATGTTTCTGTACCATGAGCAACACATCTTGTGTTTCTTTCTAAAAAACACAAGATGTCCAGTTACTGGAATTGCATTTCACTATCAGATTAATTTTAATTAAACAGAAGCTACTTGTTTGACCCAGCTTTACCATGAATTCACTAAGGCCACATGCTCTGTAATATGCCATGAAAACAAAATGAAAGGAAGTGAACCTGAAATGCAAACGTTCATTTCCCTCTGAGAATGTTTTGCCAGTAAGATACAGGTGTGGATGACACAAGGCTTTGGTATAACATGCAGTACTAACCAGAAGAATGAGTTACCAGATTCATAGTGGTTATCACCCTGCTTCTGGGCCCGCACGGTCAGGTCAAAGTTTGAGCCTGCATTAGGCCAGGAGAAATAGAACATCCCAGAGTTCAGTATTTTCTTCAAGGCAGTAACACGCTCCTCTTCCTTGGTTTCTTCCTGGAGAGGACAGAAATCTGTTGCAGTAATTTTGTAAACTTCAGCATCCAGGATTTTTCCCACTGACGTACAGCCTGTCACCAGGACCAGAAAGTGCAGTCGAGTGTTACCTAGAAGATGACAGACAGTTACAAAAGGGTTACAGGTGCACAGAGGATGTCATTTCACATCAGTCCTGTCATATGCAATGCTGACAGGGCTCCAGCAGAGGCCAGTGTCTTTGCTTTGGAAAAAAACAAAATCCAAATAAGCAAAGGGCCTATGTTCATTTACATTTCTGAATTCCTTTTGACTGCAGGTGAGTGCAATTGCATAACATTCCATTATATTTATCCATTCCCATCCTTTGCTGCAACAGACTGTGTTTTTCCCATGTACTTTATGAAGTGCAATGAGCTTGGTGTTGGGACACTACTCAAAAATCAAATTTCACCACCCTAGAGAACATTCAGTTTTCACTGGATTTGACTGAAGGGGAAGGGAGAAGACTGGTCTTTTATGAAATAAAATGCTTTCCTCACTATGGATTTTTCTTCTGCATTTAAAGATATGAAGCATTTGGATTTCTTACTGGCTTCAGCTGGGTGTATTCAGCCATTCACAAAGTTTCAGTATTACCAGTTCTTGAGATTTTGCTTTTTATGTCCCAAAAGAGCATACATGATTAGATGACAACCTCAATTATCACTAAAAAGAATTCCATCTCTCATGGCTGTGAAGCAAAGTGTGAAATCATGAAGAAGCTGAATTTCAGGGCCCCAAAACTAAAAGATAAATTTTGAAGCTTGAGAGAACCACTGTAATCAGATCTCTTGTACACAGCAGGATTTCAGCTTCTGCTCATTCTCTCTGAAATGATAAAGTAATTAAGAAACAGCAGAACAACTGTTCTGAAAACACTGTTTTTGCTAGGAAGAAACTGTTTGATTCACTTAAATTGGCCTCTAATGGAGACAATGTCATCCTATTCACTCCAGTTAGCAAGAAAAGGTGGAAGCGAGCCAAGATGTATTGCTCTAGCATAGCAGAAACAACAGCTGACCTGCCAAGAGCGAAGTAATTATCTAAGAGCACAGTGACACTCTGGGACAGCATGGTTTTCAGACCGCAAAAAGAACACTTTGTAGGACTACTCTTCAACCCTCCACAGTGGCCCACTGTCTGAAAATGCAGACCAACTCTCATGCAACAACTTTTTCTTCTGAAACACCAGCAGGAGAATCCTTGCTTCCGGATCACAGGTTGGCCATAGAAACTTGAGTTAGGGGTGGTTTTCAGCAGGGCCAAAATATTTGCGTAGGCACATGGGAATGGAATGGCAGGACAAGGTGGCAGATTAGATCTTATTCATTCTGTTCTGCTGACTCTAGTTTTGCATAAAGGCCAGTGTAGGTGGTATTTACTAAAAAGCTCTGTTCATCACATTTCTTTCTGTAACAAGGGTATGCTGTGTTCTTCTTCCAGAGTGTTTTTAACAAGTACGTCTTCTCTACTCTTCCAGATGACACCATAGTGGAGGGTTAGAAATACATAAGACCTAATAGTTTATTCCTCCTTTGCACATGAGTGTGCATAATTATAAAGGATTAAGAGTGGGAGACACATCAGTTATCACTATGGTAGTTCATACTTGACTAATTACTGTCTTGTAGCCTCCAGAAGGGGTTAGGAGGAGTTAGTTGTTTCTCAGGATACCTAGTAGCTTCAGTGACTTTGCTGAAACCATGCAAAACTGATCAGCTCAAAGTAAACTTCACTCATGAGAATCTGAAAGCAATGTACAGAAACACTATTAATATTGCTTAGCATCCGTCAGCTGCAGGCACAGAAAACCACTAGTGACAGCCTCAGAAAGCTGGCTGGGATGCTGAGACAAAGAATACAAACACTTTAATTGGCTTCAGTGACCTTAAACTTTCCTAGAAGGTTATAGAAGAGATCAAATGGGAAAGCCAACACTAAAATAGCCAAAAAAAAAAAAAAATTAATAATAGTGGGCTTGTTATCTGCGGTTCTGTCCTTCAAGGAGCTTGTAACTGGTGGAAAATAACTGGATCTAAACAAAGCAATTCTTTAGTTTAAGAAGGAAATTAGTAGGAATAAAGCATGACAGAAAAGCCAATCAGAACTACACACAGTTTTGCTTTACCTAGAAACTCGCTGTCCCTTAGCAGAGACTCTAGATTCTTTTTACTACCTCCTCCCCCAACCACTCATCCCCAAAATGGAAGACACATTTACACATGCAGAGATCCAGCATCTCTACTACCCCAAATCACTAGCTAATGAGCTCAAAAAACAGTAATCACAGCTAAGAACCTAAACACAGTAATCACAGCTGTCCCTGAAGCGTCAGGAGATTTACTGCTCTATGAAGTTGTAATACGCTTTCATGCCACTGGGCAGCAACCCCACATGAGAGAGTCGGGGTTGTTAGGCCTGGAGAAATGAGGGCTCAGGGGAGACCTTATTGTAACCTTTCAATATACAAAGAAGGCTTATAAGACAGATGGAGAGACTTTTTATCAGAGCCTGTAGTGACAGGACAAGGGGCAACAGTTTTAAACTGAAAGAGAACAGATTTAGATTGGCTATAATAAAGAAAGTTTTTATGAAGGTGGCAAGACACTGCAACAGATTGCCCAGAGAAGCTGTGAACATCCCATCCCTATAAGTGCTCAAGACCAGGCTGTCCAGGGCTTTGAGCAGCCTGATCTAGTGGAAGGTGTCACTTCCCATGGCAGTGAGCTTGGACTAGATGACCTTTAAGGTCCCGTCCAACCCAAACCATTCTGTGATTCTACATACACAGACTAAGTCTCTGTGCAGTACTCCAAATTACAGCACAGCCTTCATCCTTCACAGACTTTTCATTATGCCTTTGAACAAAGGCAGGCTGGCAAAGGAGTTTACAGTGTTATGCCTCACACTTACAGCCCAGAAAATTTGAGAAAAACGAGGAAAAGAAACAAATGTATTTAAGCTACAACAAAGCCAGCCTGCTTTGCCATTTTGTCCTCCTAGACTGCTCTGCGAGCTGAGGTGGTCTTCAAATCACTCCAGATTCTCTGATTTGCTTCAATCGCTCAGGGTATGCTACAAAACAGCCAGAATGCAGAACCTCTACAAAATCACAGCTCCAGCTTAACACAAATCTCTCTGACTCGGCGCCTTGGAAAAAAGTCACAAGCCCCATCCCCTGATATCACCTTCATCCCAACTGGTATTTGGACAGTGTCCCCAGGAATCAGCTCTGGGCTATCACTGCACTGTCAGCGGGAGGAAGATCATTGCCTGACGTGCATGCTGCTCTTGGCACAGGGAACAGGCTAATCACAATATCCTATTGACAGCACTCAAGCCTGTGCCCTACCCCATTTTTTTCCACAGCACAAACACAGCCACAGGGTCCTGAGCAGAGGTAGGGCTCCTGTCAGCCCTTCACCTTTTTAGAATCTCCCACAGCAAAATTAATGCTATTAATCTTTTAACTACATTTCCATTAAGGTCTATGAAATTACCCACCACTAAGATATACAGCTACAAACAGTGAAATACAGCTTTTCCTATTTTCCCTTCTTTGCCAGCAACATCAGTTTATGTCTGGGAACCTCTTCTTTCAATCCCAAACCTTTTTTCTCACACTGTCTTGCCCCAGTGTCTTTCCCCTCAACCCTGGCTGCCAATGTTTTTAAATATATTGATAACCACATCCAACAATGTTGTGATGGAAATCATAACTGCACTACCTTCACTCATGCCTTCACTTGGGCATTTTGTCAGACTGAAAATGCTATTCCAGGGGAAAAACCAAAAGCGTTACGTATCCATACAGTACCTAATATGGCAGAAACCTAACATTACCAGACACAGGAAATATGCTTCTGCTTATTTGCCACTCACTGAAAGTCTGATTATTATTATGGACATATTTAAGCCAAAAATCAGTCCATTTATTTCTAAATTTAAACTTTAAAAAGTCAATGTGGTTTCTTTCTGGTATGTAAATGTCAACAAGCCATAATCTCTCGTTGAAAATAGCTACTTAACATGAAAACAGCTGTATCAACCACAACCCTACCGTAAATGCTCCTACATTTGAGGGTAGAAAGTGCTTCAATTGCTTCAATCAGGCCAGATGCTGCTACTGAAGCAAGTGATTTTTATAAAAAGCAAAATTAAAATCAACTTTCTCAATTTCTAAAAATTGCACATGCTAAGTTATTTGGTAGCTGTTCATTCATTGCAAGGAAAACAACATTTTCAGCTGAGAATAATTTACCGAAAAATTCTTTTAGTTTCTAAACAATTCATTTTTATTATCCAGCGAAACTCACAAAAGAATGCAAGAAGTTGCATTCCTGGTTTACTAAACCCACCCCCCCCCCAAAAAAAAAACCCAAACCAACGACCCAAGCATAAACATCAAAAAAACCCTGCTGTCAACACAACACGGAATTTCCTACAGTAGATGGATTTGTGAGGCCATGGCACAAGAAAGAGAGGATTTTTTAAAAATAAATCAGTTTTGCTTTTGTGAAAATATCACAGCTTTACTGAAATAGATCAAATTGAGACACACAGACATTCCTTACAGCTAGAAGGTATTTCCCCTTAAAACAGACAAGACTATTCCATAATCCCTGCAGCCTTAACTTTTGAAAACTGCAGCTCAGTACCATTTCCAATTCTGTATTTATATTAAAAATACCGCTCCTTTTAAGTTTCCAGTGAACTGGAAACTGTTTTTATGCAAGTAGCACTTGAAGTACCAGACTAACACTAATCACAATAAAAACACAGCAGAAGGGCCAGCCAAATTCACCTGGCGGCAACATTAGGAAGCACATTATGGGGTTACAACCTTTGAAAGGAGCTAAACAGTATCCAAGGTATTTATGCTTGTTCTGTCCAGAACATCAACAGCAACATGGGGAAAAAAAAAAACAAAAAAACAAACAAACAAAAAAAAACAACAAACAAAACCCTAAAGCCATGAAACAAGCAATTACCCTTGCATATAAGCTCAAACAAGTCAGGAATCTGAGTTTTAAAATGCTGTGAGTGCATCCTCCAGATGAAAGGGAAAATTAACACCAAATCAATTCCC